ATTTAATTTTATTACTGCTGCTATAAGATACAGTGTTATTTGCTTCAGCCTATTACTACATCCTTAACACGGTGTAAATATCAATCCTCTATGAAATCCATCGTTTTCAATGCAATGATGATGTTGCCTAGTTGGGTAATGAAACTTCTGCAAGCAAACTATGCTCAAAGAACACCAAGAACTCCTCAATTCAACGCTGAGCTGCAGATATTCTCTTAATAACATTTCAGAAGTCTTTATCACTTACGGACACCTTAACTGTATACTTATTCAGGTTTTGTGAATATCTGAATAAGTTTTATTGTTATGTTTCAGGATTTGGCTATGACTCTGGCTTTTAATAGAATGGCAAGAAGTTTAAGTGATGGTGGTTTATTAGTATGCTTTCATGGTATGCTTTTGTGAGTTTTATTGATATTATATTATGATATTTTCCAACTATGACATTTATTGCTATAATGTGCCTAAGAGGGTTTAGAAATATTTAAATCTCAAAAGCTATATACTGTAAATCTGAAAGCCTGCTTTCCTTATGCTTCAAAGTAAAATCTATATTTAGAGCTATGCATTTTTGGCAGATGCTTCTGTCCATGTCTGGAAATATTAGAGAAGTTGGTTACCTAAAGAAAATGCTGCCACACATTTCATAAATACAGGATTGTTTTCTATTTACATTTTAATACTTTATACCCAAGAAATATTTTGCAGGCTATAAGTCACATCCTCTTAATAGGAGGAGGCACTTTGTAGGACCAGGGGCCCTCGGCAAGTTTAGAGCTGTCTCTGACCATGGATACGGAAAAGTGATGGCACCATTAAATGCACTATTTCTTGCCTTTTTAAGATGGGAAATATATGAAGGCTTTAGTGCAGGGGTGTCAAACTGCAGACCCGTGGGCCAGACACGTCACGTGGAAGCCACGCCCACCCCATTGCCGGCAATGGCAAAACCGGCCCGATACGTTGCATGATGTCATGTGACGTCACGAGTTTGACATGCTTGCTTTAGTGGAAGTCTTAAATAAGTGCACCACAGTGAAAACACAAAAATCCTTTTAATTGCCCTTAAACCAAGATGATTTACTTTCTTTGTGATCTTTAACACCCCCCCAGGTGCTTAATACATCTCCTGTTGACAAAAGAGCGGCTTCTTTTAGATCTCAAATAATTTCTCTCTAAACATATTGGAATAAATATTGTGGAAAGGCAACTGTCAAATTCTGTCAGTTACTTTTTTCTAAGGCAGGGACATATATCTGAGCTTTTCATGAAGCAACTCCACAGTAGGAGAGATATCCGGTGATTTTTTTTTTTTTTTGAAATATTACCTTTTCTTTTTTAATTATTGGCCTAGGTTCAAAAATTAGCATTTCTAGTGTCTACTCTCCGAGGCACTGGAGAACATCGATGCTTGTATCAAAGTAAACGGTGTTTGGATCAACAATTTAAGGTATGCTGATGATACAGTTCTGCTTGCCAGTAAGCATGAAGACCTTCAGCTCCTCATCAACAGTCAAAGAAATATCTTAAAAATACAGCTTGAAGCTTAACACCTCATGGACCATTGTGCTTTACATGACTAGATACTGGGCATGAGGTTTAAGGGATATCCAGATCCTGATAGTCAGTGGTACTGAAGGAAGAGATGCATAGAATATATCAGAATGATATATACAATCCTCCTTTCCTTAAGCACAGAAAGATGCTACATTAAGTTATGCATCTCTATATGATGCTTTACAGTACATGATATTGACCCTGCTCCTTGGAGGGAAAAGGAAAAAAATTGTCTTTTTAAGGATAGCTCCTAAAATTGAACAAGTTGAAAGGATCACGCATCTCAGTTCTAATTTACATGAAAGCTGGGACATGACCACTGAAGTAAAGATTAGGACAGAGAAAGCTCAAACAGCATTCTTCAAAATGAAAAAGGTCTTCTGCAGTCAAGACATAAGCCTAAGACTGAAAATCAGGCTTGTCAGATGGTATATTTTTTCTATCCTGCTCTATGGAATAGAGAGCTGGTCTCTGACAGAAGGCCACCTGAAGAGACTAGAAGCATTTGAAATGTGGATTTACAGGCGGCTGTTTCGTATAAGCTGGGTTGACAAGATCAGAAATGAGGAGGTGATTAGCTGCCTGGGAAAGCCAAGGGAAATCATCAAAACAATTAAAAAATGAAAATTAGAATATTTCGGATATGTGATGCGACACCCAGAAAAATATGGCATACTCCATTTAATCCTTCAGGGAAAGATTGAAGGCAAATGAGGTCCAGGCAGAAGAAGAGCATCATGGCTTCAAAATCTAAGGGATTGGTTTGGATAAAACTCAGCAGCACTTTTTTTTGTGCAGCTGCTGATAAAAACAGGATTGCCAACATGATCGCCAACATCTGATAATGGATATGAAGAAGAAGTGTTTAATATTGATACATTGAAAATATTGATACATAACTTATTTTCAAATAGCATGTAGTACTTTTAGCACCTAGATCACGGGTATCAAACCCGATCATGTCACATGACATATCATGACGTATAGCGTTTTGCCTTTGCGGAGCCGGGGTAGGCGTGGCCTGCACATGACGCATCTGCCCCATGGACCGCCAGTTTAACACCCCTGACCTAGATTGTTTTGGCCTCTTCTTATAAATAAATGTTTTGTGTTAAAAAATCCTTTAATAGTTTTGTTATGAGAACTTTATTTAATTCTGATAGTCCTATCAGGAAAGGGTCATGGAATAAATAATCTTAGTGCAGTTTATTTACTATAATATACTTTTTGTCTCCTGCTGACTGCTGGACTAGATAGATTTTGAAATAGTGCCTAGAAAATGGAATACTTTGCCACTGTTTCATTCTTATAGCTTTGTGCCTAAGGCAAGACTAGAAGTAACAATCTCCCAGTTTCTACTCTTGTGCCTTAACCACTACACCAGACTGTTTCTTTGTATAATGCAGTTTCCAAAAACCCTTACTCTGAAAAAATGGACATATTCTGAAAAAAATCATCCTGTTTGTCTGAAGTTATCCTGAAGCTCTGCGGCTTTGTTGGTGGCACCTTTCTGTCAAATTTCCAACCATGGTTTATTTTAGTGGATATTTTTTCTCCATGTTTAAGAGACCCACATCAATTAGATACTACAGAAAGTGGTTCCATGAGATCAGCACCATTTTGCCCTTAACAACACCCTCTGGAAGAGTTCTATGAAGCTATGCCATCCATTCCAACATTTGTTAGAGAAACTCTCTAGCTCTTTTTATTTGAAATAAGATAAACTACATTAAAAAATCCAAGAAAAATAAAAGCTAGTCTAAACCATCCACATTTAGTATATGGTTTCTAATCAAATGTTCTGCGTAGCCCTAAAGTAAAATAGGATCAAACTACAGGTAGTTATTGATTCATGACTATTTATTTAGCATTGAATTTATAGCAATATGGGGAAAAAAACCTAACTTATGAACAGTTCTTGCACAAACAACTATCACAATGTCTCTGTTGTCACATGATTGTGATTCAATGGCAACCAGCATGTGTTCATGACAGGGTCACATGATTGCCATTTGTGACCTTCCCAGCTGGCTTCCAACAAGCAAAGTCAATGTTTCATTTAACAATCACAGTCATTTTCTCAATGGCGACAGCAAAATAATAATAGTAATAATAATAATAATAATAATAATAATAATAATAATAATAATAATAAATGATGAAGATGCACTGAAATTAGTATATCAGGAAGGCTTACTGGCTACTGGAGAGACCAAACTGGCCTACAAAAAGACCAAATGAAGAACAGAATAGAGGAATAGGAAGACAAAGCACTACATGGCCAATACATTAAAAAAATAGTTGGGAAAGCAGATAATAACAAGACCTGGCAATGGCTAAGAGCAGGAAAATTGAAGAAAGAGACCGAGGGACTAATTCTGGCTGCACAAGGCCAAGCCTTAAGGACAAATGCATATAAAGTCAAAATTGAGAAGACAGCAACAGACAATAAGTGCCGCCTATGCAAAGAAGCTGAAGAAACAGTGGACCACCTGGTAAGCTGTTGCAAGAAGATTGCACAGACTGACTATAAGCAGCGGCATGACAAAGTAGCAACAATGGTGCATTGGAAGATCTGCAAAAAATATCATTTGCCTGTAAGCAAAAACTGGTGGGATCATAAAATAGAGAAAGTCATAGAAAATGATAAAATTAAACTGCTCTGGGACTTCAGAATTCAAACAGACAAGCACCTGCAACATAACACCCCAGACTTAACAATTGTCGATAAGAAAGACAAAAAAGTCTGGATAGTGGACGTGGCAGTGCCTGGAGACAGCAGAATAGACGAGAAAGAACCGGAGAAGATAACAAAATACAAAGACCTACAAATAGAAATAGAAAGACTGTGGCAAAAGCAAGCAAGGGTAGTACCAATAGTCATAGGCTCCTTGGGTGCAATCCCAAAACAACTGGAGCACCACTTGAACACCATTGGCACTGACAAATTTGCTATTAGTCAATTGCAAAAGGCGGCCTTACTAGGAACTGCTTCCATCCTGCGACTATATCTGTAATACCATCAAACATCCACACTGCCTATCCCAGGTCCTGGGTAAGGACTCGATAGGTAGACAAAATGCCAAATCCAGTCTGAACATCTGACTGACTGTGCGATGATCCATAATAATGATAATAATAATTGGGCACAACACACTTAGCGATTGCATTAATGACAGAAGTTGGGTCCTAATTGTGGTTGCAAGTGAAGGACTACCTGTAATATAACTTATCATCTGAGTTGTGAATAAAAGTGATACTGTTGGTCAGGAATGGAAAAAAAATCCAATCCGTATGTATTTGTGTATGTGTTTGTGTTTTTTCTCTCTCTCTCTGTGTATGTGTCTATGCATGTGTAAATACACTATCCTGCCGCTTTCAGATACCAACACTATTACAGCATACAATATTCAGCAGCACTCAAAATTTATCAAATGACAGTCTGCGCTATAAATTAGATTTAATGAGCACTTAGTTTGTCACATACAATGCTCTTAAACATGCTAGTCTTCCACATACTAACCTTTTAAGCTCCTGTAAACCAACAATAATTCTGTTAGATTCTCTAGGATGTTTAATGACTGTAACTCACCCTCCTTATGCTGGTCTATTATCGCAATAAAGATTTGATTTGATTTAATTTGTGGGATTTTTTCTTGATTGGTCATCTGAGTTTCTCTCTGGTAATTTGGATGGAAAGTGTTAGTATAATTTTTTTACATTTTATTATGCATAATAATGTGTATATCTTTGTAAGATATACACAGTCATAAAATGTGCAGTTTTGCCACCAATTTATCCGTATATAGAATATTTTTTTACTCAAATATTCCAATATAAACATTTTGAGATTTTTTTTTTTCGTTAACAGATATATTTCTTTGTTCATTTGGATTTTGCTACAGGATTATATTCCAATGTGCCAATAAGAGACAATAAGATACAATTTGCCAAAAAGATCAGCAGCCAAATAACTACTTTGGACTAACACTGTAGTCACTTGGCTAATTGTAATATCACCATACACTAAATAAATAATACAAAAGGAATCAGTTGCATAATTATGAAAAAAAATCAAGTCCCAAAGAATTTTTCCTCCTCTGTTTATTTGGGAATAGCATCTATTGATGTCTACTAGGATGTTTTTTAGGTTCCTGGAACAACTGTCAGAATGAATACTTGTTAGAATAAATCAGAGACTGTCCAGATAAATATTTATATTTGAAATCCATAAATCAAGACATCAGTGCTATCGAAGTTCAGTTATTTCTTTAATAACTTTCCCACAATTGATTGAAGAATTCCAAGTTTGATGATCCCTGCTGTAAAGGAAATTACAGTCCACTTTCATTGTCTGTATTGAGTTGCTCCCTGAAATATCCCATCACCTAGAATGATAATAAGAAGGCAAAAATTGGCAGTTACCTACAACATTCTGGAAAAATCTAGAGAAGTCTTTCAATGGACTTTACTAATTTAGTCAAGCCACTTTCATAACATAGTTTTAATACTTGTAACATGTAATTTACCATACATCTTTTCCACTTCTGACATTTTTTGAGAATAGAATCTGTGAAATGGCGTATTGTTTTTAATAAGAAACAACACAGAAACAAGAGAAACAAAATAATCATTAAGAGCAGTTGGTTATTCAAAACAAGCTTTTTAATAGTCCAAGTTATACCAAAGGAAATCCTTATAAAAACATTTTTTCCTTATTCAATTCACTATTTGCTACCAAATGAATTGTGGAGAAAAGTTATTCAAGAAAAAAACTGAAACATTATCGCTATTGCTATCCATTCCCCAAGGCCAAAAGTAATTATTTTAAAGAGATCAACCTTGATCTTTTCTGTTTCAATCAGAAGAAAGTACTCCAGAAGTGTTGGACTACAATTTACTTCATAATTCCCAGAAAGCAACCTAGACCAATGGCAAAAATATTTCTGCCTTATTTTCCCAACCTTATTTCAGCCTGCCAATAACTCTAAACACTTTAGAGAAACAGAGCAAAAAATATATGGAATAAAATCATAAAAAATTAAGAACTTTGGCTGATTTGATATTGAATTTAAATTATTTTTAAGGGATTGGGGAATGAAATATTGGCAAGGTACAAGTGCCATAAGTTAATATAGAGGCAATACTTCTAACTAATATTGTGCAGACCGGTTGTCTTGCATTTTTTCCTTATCATATCTCATTCAGTTGCTGGCAGATAATTTTTTTAGAAGATCTTTCAAAAGAGAATAGAGTAGTTTTATTGCACTTATTTAGTGACATATTTTTGAATGCCAATTTTCCATTGTTTGGACAGCTCTCCAGTAGCTTATAGCCTTTCCGCTACCCATATATCAATAAAAGGGACAACAACAGGAGGGAACTTCTTCCACTGAGGCTACTGCCCAGGTGGAAGTCCTCGCCTTATGAATTTGTTTACATTTTCTTTCACCCCATTTTCCTGCCTGCAAATTTGGTAAACACTGCTGCAGCCAAAAGACTTTTTTTGCTGAGCTTTATCTGAGCATTTGAACAACCCAGTGTCACATTTAATAGCAATAATTATTCCAGAAGAAGGATTTTACATTTGACACTCAAGGAATACAAATTCCATTTATTGGCAGTGGTCCAAATGTTATCCTCAAACGTTCAGTATTAATATTGGCAAGATCTATGAATAATTTACCTGCTGAGTAGTTTCTGGTCTATTTGTATGGATTTGCCAGTGCTTGAGTTTCTGAATTTCAACCATGGAACTGTTTCCCTTTTTCAATTGCTGTTGGAACAAGAGGTGTTCTTCCTGGCTTGGTGGGATTTTGGGCTTGACAATGGTGTATGTGACCTTGTCCTCATAACTTCTGTCTGCAGAAGCGAATGGAAATGATGAGGGAAAATCATCAAAAGCATCCTTGGATTTCTTGGTAAGGAAGTGAGATACAATCCATCTCAACACAGCATTGCTATTTCTGAACACATGGGACGAGCCACATTTGGGTATAATATTTGGAGAGCAAAAGATGAAAACTTTTGTGAATGGGCCAGAATTTTTATCCCTGGTTTTGTTTTGCTTGTATATGTGTGTGTGTTTGTGCATTTGTGTGTTTCCTAATCACTTTCACAATGCTTTAAGGGCCACACTATAATTTTCAATGTTTTCTAACTAAAATGTTGGGAAATTGTGCTGCTTCTTTTCAGTAGTTTCACTAAGAACCATAAAAACAGATGTCTGGGGTCCCCAGATGGCTCTGGGACCTACTGGATATTGTCCAGTAAGGCCTAGTTCTCAGAGGCAAATTATTTTATCCTTCTTCAAAGTTACTAATCAATAGGACATTTAGCCATATGCCTCATTCTTCACTCATCATCAGCAAACTACCTTCACTCTGTTCAGAAACAAATTTGTCCCATGCTCAACATCTAATTGAGATATTAGAATATATTTTGATATTCTAGATTTAATTGATAAATAAACTTATTCATACTACATTGAATTGTGAAAAAGTAATATCTAGTTGGTGTGTGAGTGTGTGTGTGTGTGTGTGTGTGTGTAAGTCAGAGAGAGAGAGAAAGTAAGAGAGAGAGAGAGAGAGGGAGAGAGAGAGAAAGAGAGAGAGAGAGAGAGGGAGACAGAGAGAGAGAATTCTATATCTACCATTCAGTTTCATGGCCATTTCTTTGATTAATTCACTCTCATTAAATTTAGTTGCCATTGGAGTTCCTGTAAAGAGATAGCACAATGCCATTAGCTAATTATGAAACACAAGTCAGGAAGTACTGACACATTACATTAAGGGTGGGTGGCTTGGTTCAAAAAATAAAAACAGAAAATGTAGAACTATCACGATAGTGTCCTGCAGAAATCAAATAAAATCTCTGTCACACATTTCCAAAGATATTCCTGTGTTCTTTTTCTTTTCTAAGCAAATTATATTCAACTATGTAGAGAAGATAAAAAATTGTCTGTAAGTCTGCATGTTGCAAAAATGAGTCACAGCAAATGATGTAGTAGAATAAACCAATATGTTGTCAGAGCTCTGGATGGCTTAAGTTCACACTAATTAAAGAGTAGTTGCTTCCTATACAAGCCTGCCTGCTTTTAAAGATCCAGTTTGGAGGTTCTTCTGTGGCTGAGGTAGGACTGGTTAGATAACTATGAGGAACATTAAAGGGGACAGGTCTGATTTTACTGATACCATTGGGTGCCTACACTGAATACCCTCCTGTTTTCTGGTTAAGACATGCCCTGGTAACCATTTTTATGCTATGTCTTCATCCACAGGCCATTGCTAGTGATTTAACTATTTCATTAGTTTATCAAAATGTAAAATACAGAGATATAAAAAAAATGAAAATAATGGGAAAACAGGAAAGGAAAAGGGGAACAGGAAAAACTGTAGGATAAAGGGAAAAAAAACAAAGAAAAGCATTGACTTCCAACTCCTTTTGGTGCAGTAGAATAAGGTAATAACATACAATCTCAATTTTTAAACTTTACATAATAATATATACTAGCCATTTCTATAACAACAAACCTATCTAGTCAGCAAAGCCCAAAATCAAAGTTTCATTTTTTTCCACCTCAAGCCCAAAATCCAAAAGTGGTTTCCAAGTAGAAACAAAATTAATTGTATTCTTTTCTTTAATCAAAACAGTCAATTTAGTAATCTCTGTGAACTCCATCAACTTTTGCAGGCATTTGTCCATTGTGGGAATTAAAGTATCCTTCCATTTTATGCATAAAGTATTCTTGCTGCATCCATAGACCATTGCTGAGACAGCTTAAAATTGTCTTTAGTTGTAATTTGAGAGAAATGTTTTCCTCTTCTTCTGACACAATTTTGGCTATGGATAAGATCTAGTACATTTTACTGATGATGTGGCTAAGACTTGCCAGATAAAACATTGGCTTCTTGTGTATACTCAGTTAGGACTCTTTTGAATAAATGCTAGGTTACACCTGTACTTTAAATAGAGGACTTGTGCATTCTTCAAAAAATTCTGGGTCAATGCCTCCAAAAGCATCAACTTAAATTGGAAAAGTGGGCTGCATTTTGCCACTTGTGCATTATTGGTTCTGTCACTGAAGAGTTCTGCTGATTTTTATGGGTTTTATTATAATTGTGAAAAGTGGAAGTGCCATTTTGTGCACTTTTATACAATTTTGCATACTATACAGGCTACCTCTGGATGCTTAAGCACACTGCCCTACCATTGTGAGAGTGATCGGGGATAAGGCTGGCTCTTTATGGATAGTTTCCTCCCATTTCATTCATACCTTTCCTGTATGCTGACAACTGGGCTATTTTTGTACATTGTTTAATGCTCTTTCAGAAGAGTATTAGACCCATAGTCAGGTATAAAGCCAGCTGTGTTATATTGAGCCAATCACTCTCAGCCCTAGGAAGGAGCCAATATAAAACTATTTCCAAATTTTGCTAAGAAAACTGCAGGAACCTGTGCAGATAGTCACCAGGAGCCAACACTGACTTGACAGCAACATTTTTTCTTAAAAAAAAAAACCCTGTTACTTCATCCATGTAGGGAAAATGGACAATATTTACTCCATTTGCTGATGGAAAGGAAAAGGAATACTAACTACCAGGAGGCAATAATGACCATTTTTATCCTTATTGGGAGTCATCAAAATATATATTACTATGTCTCATGGACCATTGTGCTTTACATGACTAGATACTGGGCATGAGGTTTAAGGGATATCCAGATCTTGATGGTCAGTGGTACTGAAGGAAGAGATGCATAGAATATATCAGAATGATATATACAATCCTCCTTTCCTTAAGCACAGAAAGATGCTACATTAAGTTATGCATCTCTATATGATGCTTTACAGTACATGATATTGACCCTGCTCCTTGGAGGGAAAAGGAAAAAAACCTGTCTTTTTAAGGATAGCTCCTAAAGTTAATTAACTGGTATAGTTATCTAAAGGGCAACGGTCCATGAATTAAATGTCTCTGTATGAAAATTTATATAGCCCCACTTTTCAAGAGACAGACTCTTCTCTTACAGATAAAGGCCTATGACCAACTTGCACTTAGTTTTTTAAGATCTACCTGCAGTATCACTCAGTTAGTAGGAGACTCAGAGGTATCTTCTGTTGGTTAATAAACAAACCATTGCCATTAGTCTAATGATCTCTGATGAAATTACTCTGTGCTCCAATAGTGAAATCCAGTTCAAAACATGAAGTTATTGGCAGTAAAAGAACAAGAGAGAAATAAACTTCCCATAATCAAATCAATCAAGTTGACACTATAGTGCTTAAGTTGTAAATACAAAGTGTCTTCTTGATTCTACAATTAAGAAGAAGAACTCACATATCAAATCACAATTAAGCTGTGCAATTTCAAATGGTTTATCCATCATGGTTTCAAATATAACATGCTGGAATATTCAAATTGTTGATACAAATTTCTTAAACTTATTAAATTACATGACATAGTGTGTCTACAAGAAACTAGGATCCCAGAAAGTCAGATGGATGTAATTTATTTAGCAGAATTTAGATCAAGGAAACCACATTCTATGGAATGTTCTTTTATGCTATTTTGTTGACAGAAAGTAGAATCTGAAGGCATCTAAAAAAATGGGCTAGTCTCGCCCCTGCAGATAATGATATTCATAATAATAAATGAGCCTATCTCAATAACTTAAATGTCTATATGCCTCCTAGAAGTGCCAAATTTCAAAATTATTAGTGGTGGGTTACCCAGGGAAATATAATAGATATATTAGAAGATAATTTTAGCAGATACTATTATATTAATATTTAATATAATGTATTAATGTATAAAAGAACAAAATGGTTAAAATTAACTTTCCTTTTAACAAGAAGGATTCTATAGTAAACCCAGCAGAATATAAATTATTGGATTTACTATATATATGGAACTATATGGTTCCAACCCCAGGAATTTCCCCAAGCAATTACACCCACTTATAAAACTGTACAGAAGTATAATCAATTATATATGTATCCTCTCTGCCAGGACAGGAAAATTTTAGAAGGTGGAGGTGATTTTAAGAATTTGGGGTAATCTATAGCCTATCTTTTTCTAATATTAGGCTAGGAGCCAGTGAGAAATTGAAAGTTTACAATGAGAAAATCATTACATTTTACTTTCAAGTCATCTAGACATGTACTAAATGCCAGCAAAGAAGGTTTTCTGGATCTTGTTGGTTCCATCTAGCAATCACTTTGATTGGTATGCAATGAAATTGTCATCCCCTAGATGATGATGATAACAGCTTACATCCTGTGACGATACTATTAATATTATCTAATAAGATATGCCTATCCCAGATCCTTGGTAGGTAGACAAAAATGCCAAATCTAGTCTAAACATCTGGTTGACTGTGTGACCATAATAATAATTTATATGCCACCTGACTCCAAGCATATAAACTTTATTTTCCTTTGATCTGCTAGTCCTTCCATATCCAGTCTAAGCAAATGCAACAGCTGGTTACTTAATTTGTTTTTTTTTTAATATGGAAGGAATGTCTGGGGTCTTCTGTGTCTGCAGACCTCAAAGTGGCTATCCTGCCTGCCTTCTCCATATTTATATCCCAGGACTGCGTAATAGTTTGTATTGATGAAACCAAAAAAATAACAGATAGTTGTGCTGTTAGTTGTTGCGTGCTATATTCCCACCTTATCCAAACTGGTTCTCTCCAGATGTGCCGGGACTGCAAATTCCTACAGTTCTCATCCAGAATGTACATTCATCATATTGGCTATGAATTTTGGCAAATTGCAGTTCTAATATAGCTGAACATGCCAGGCTGATTATACACAATAAGAGAAATGAATCCTGTATTGCCATTACACTGTATTTATATTACTTTAAAAAACAGCAAAATTGACAAAAGTATTTAATTCTGTACCTGGCTTCCTGACAGCGTTCAACAGCTTCTCATTACCAGCATGAGTCCTAGTCAGCTTTTGCTGAAAGACTGTAACAAAAAAGCAAATTAAGAAGTTACTAGTAGCAGCAGGAAAACAAGAAAACTGATTATGCATCACAATTCTAATGTCTTGATAGAACAACCTAAGACTTTTAAAAACAAAGTATAAGAAGAAAGCCCACAGTGCCGATTGGTTTTATTTTTTAGAATGCTACAGTTTTGTCCAGTTGAATTCCCTTTACACAATTCCTCCCTTTTACTGAGATGGCTGTTCTATCTTCTGATAGATAGGGATTCTCCCAACTCCAAAATGCTTTCCTAATTGTGGCTCACTTGGCTCAACAGTGCTTGAACACTTTTTTTGTTTTAGCTTTGTTTTATTACTGCCCAGTGGTTCAGTGAGAAAAAGAAAAGGGATATAATGGAAGACTGGATTGAGATTCTAATGCTATCATGAGAAATTGCATATGAAGCTTTCTTAAGATGATATGGCTCCAAGGTTTTAAACAGATTCGCGTACAAATTCAGTTTGTTGATTAGATGAATGCATGAAAACGAGGGGCTGATAAGAATGTGACTCTTTTTTTCAGATTAGACTCACAATGTTTAAACTACAAGGTCTGATGCTGAAATACATGAAAGTCAGGAGTTAAGACTGACATTTAGTGAAGATTATCTTGGTCCAGCCTGGTTTTTTACAGAAAATTCTACACTATAGACATAAGACCCTTGCTACAATACCATGGCATTGTAAGGGGTGTGTGTACATACATTGGGTCTCTCAGATTGATTCAACTCCATTCTTCCTAATGGGATTAAGGCCTGTATTAAGTAACTCAGTTAGTAATTAAATTCTGTGATCTCCAAGAAATTGCTATGTACTGGGATGCAGATATATTCAACAACACTCCTGATTAGAAAATCCTTTAACCGATCTTCTTCTTCTTGCTATTGTGCCATATCTGTTATCAGACGGGGGCGATCATGTTGGCGATCCTGTTTTATCAGCAACCGCACGAAAAAGCGCTGCTGAGTTTTGTCCAAACCAGTCCCTTAGATTTTGAAGCCACAATGTTCTTCTTCTGCCTGGACCTCGTTTGCCTTCAATCTTTCCCTGGAGGATTAAATGGAGTATGCCATACTTTTCTGGGTGTCGCATCACATGTCTGAAATATTCTAATTTTCATTTTTTAATTATTTTGATGATTTCCCTTGGCTTTCCCAGGCAGCTTATCACCTCCTTATTTCTGATCTTGTCAACCCAGCTTATATGTAACAACTGCCTATAAATCCACATTTCAAATGCTTCTTGTCTCTTCAGGTGGCCTTCTGTCAGAAACCAACTCTATACTCCTTAGAGCAGGATAGGAAAAATCTAGCATCTGACAAGCCTGATTTTCAGTTTGTAGCCATAGAATTTCTGGTAAGAATTTTTAATACAGAAACAATAAACAAAAAATTAAAAAATCAAAGTCACATTGTTTTAATGATTTTACATTCAGGATCTTTGTGGAAATGGTTTTAGCAGGCAACAAAATCTTGTGTTGGTGAGGGAAGAGGAAAAAAATCAGTTTCTGGACATAGTTAGATTGGATCTGCACACACACGGAAGTAAGCTTCTATAACATGCATCCTTTGCTATATGATGTAGCTTCAAATGAAAAGAGGTTTTCTTGACTTAATTGGTATTATTGTATTAAGTTCATGAAATTAGGAAAGGAAAGGAAGTACTTGACTCCTACTGCTAAAGAAAGAGACTTGAGGAATGACTGTTTTGAGGAAATGTAATAGCTATAGGAAGAAATATTTTTAAGTGGATCACTTAATATTTTAAATAGTTTGATACTTGTCCTTTTGTATTGCCCTCAATTTTTTCAAATATAAGATTGACTTATTACTACCAAAAGAGAAAGAACAATATGAATAAGTTCAATTGTTCACATTATTTCAATATTCCACAAATTCCCAGAGTTATGTGATATCACTATAAGGCAGTGCTTCTCAAATAGTGGGGCGCGCCCCCCAGGGGGGTCGCGAGGCTCCGTAAAGGGGGGCTCATTTGACCTCGGCAAATACTGTCATATTGGATTTCTAGATCGGATCATCCAACTCACTCGCAAACGGCAGCCCGACGCGGAGGACAACATGACCGCCAACGCATGTGACACATGCAAAGGACCCGATTGGATAGACATGATGCTCTATCCTGATTGGCCAAACCCGCCCGTGTGACTTTTAGACCCGGAAATCGGTCCTCTGTACAGAAAAAAATTTTTTACAGTCGCGCGGGGGGCACGAAATGTTTTCTTCTTCCTAGGGGGGCATGACAGAAAATAATTGAGAAGCACTGCTATAAGGTAAGATAAAAACTTCCCCCAAAATAGTGTGGGTATCTACCAAATATCAAGGAAGAATAACTTTAATTGGTAGTGCACAATGCTTTTGAGATTTGTCTCTCCAGTTTCTGGCTAATGGGAGTATGGTCTGTTCATGATTTAAAAAATCACATATAACTCTCTAGTTTAGATTATCAGTTCCTCAAAAGATTAAATTCAACAGAAGAATAATCTGCTGCATGTGTAGACCTAAAAATTGGGACATGTTCTTGGTCACCATCGCAGACATGAAAATTTGATCTACAAATACCATGACATTAAAATTAAATCTTTTTGAAGTGTTAGTACCACTTTATAATGCCTTGGTAAGGCCACCCTTGGAATATTGCATTTAGTTTTGATTGCCGCAATATAAAAAAGATGTTGAGACTCTAAAAAGAGTGCAGAAAAGAGCAACAAAGATGATTAGGGGACTGGAGGCTAAACAGTTGCAGGAATTGGGTATGTCTAGTTTAACAAAAGGAAGGACTAGGAGTGACATGACAACAGTGTTCCAATATCTCAGGGTGCCATAAAGAAGAAGGAGTCAACCTTTTCTCCAAAGTACCTGAATGTAGGACAAGAAACAATGGATGGAAACTAATCAAGGAGAGATCCAACCTAGAATTAAGGACAATTTTTCAGACAGTCAGAACAATTAATTAGTGGAATGATTTGCCTCTAGAAATTGTGGGTGCTCCAACACTGGAGATTTTAAAGAAGAGATTGGACAACCATTTGTCTGAAATCTTATAGGATCTCCTGGCTGAGCAGACGGTTGGACTAGAAGACTTCCAATGTCCCTTCTAACTCTATTGTTCTGTTATTCTGCACAATAACTTGGACATAAGCTTTATTTTTGGTGACCACATCAAGTCCATTTCTGAGGAAGAGAGTATGTATGTGACTTTGAATTGTAGCTCACATGCCTATTGGAAAATGGGCTGAAACAGACTTTTAATTATAAGCATGAACTTCAAATGGCAGATTTTTCACACTATCAACTGTATCTGGGATGTCAATGAGTCACCCAGAACAGACACTGAAGCAGCTCCCTCAGGCCTGAAACAGTTCTGAAAAGTCATAGCTAAGCTATAAGCAAAGCTGCACCTGTCTGTAGTTAAATGATACTAACTTTAGCTTCCTAGGATGGTATGCCTGAGCCAATACACAGCAACCTTTACAATGCATAAGGAAATAATATACTTTCTCAAATATTTCCCTGACACCATAGAATAGGAGCCATTATTGCAATGATTTAATGAACAATAAAAATGAAAAACCCACCTCTTAAAAATGGAAAGGGGATAGATTTAAAGTGCACTCTAGTGGATGTAGAGCTGATTGGATCTTGATGTGATGTTGCTAAATCATACAATATTTATCCTATGTAGATTATAGACAATAGCAAAAAGGATAATTATATAGCTCTCTAAAGAAGAACAGTTGTGGACTGTTCAATCTTGTGGACTGAAATAAAATCGGAAAAAATGTGGTATTTGCATATTTTCCCTTTCCTGAACTGATCTTTACATCTCTATGTACTATGCAAGTTAAATATGAGAAACTAGTCAGAGGATTGTCATCTTTGCTTCCTTCAATCTGCAGATGAACAGTAGTTTCCTTGCTAAAAATGAAAATGGTGGCATTCCACATTATCTATAAATGTTTATGCTCCAAGCAAACTTTTTTCTTTTTCTTTAAAGAATTTTAGATTTTTAAGTGAATTGGGAATCCCCAACATTTTATTTTTGAAAGCTCACATTAGGTCTATGGGAAATCATGATAGATAAATGGGCACAATTATTCTCAAAAGTACATATAAATAAAGCTAACAGTAAACAACAGCCTAATTGAGGAATTATCAAGACCTCTTTCCACCAATATCGACAGGGCAAGCCACTACTATATAAAATGTACTGATTTTGTACTGATGATATCTAGTTTGGTAATGAAACATCTGCAAAAAAATAACTAAGTTCAGAAAGCACTAAGTATCCCATATACTGCATAAATTAGCATGATTCAATTTGCTTGTTTGCTCTCTGTGTTAATGGTTTTTCTATTCTAACTGGTTCAAGGGTAGGGGTACTAATAAAGTCTATAACTTTGCATTTGTTCTAATATGTGTGATTCTCATTGTTGGCAAATTCCATTGTTGGCAAATTGTTGGCAGATTGACTTAGTGATCCAAATTGTTTCTACTATTTCTTACTATAAGCTTCACAATGTAGAGAGCTGGGGTTCCCCTCTTCCATTTAAAGTAGGGACAGGGAAGCTGATATAACCCAGATGTTTTGCATTACAATTCCTATTTTTCCTTGCCATTGGTCAATTTAGCATGAATTAATAAGAACTGAAGTTCAAAACATCTGGAGGGTACTGATTTGCCTACTTGTGGTATAAATTTTGCTAGGTGTGCGACCTTCCTTATACCTCTAGAACTGGACTTTATTTCTGTGCTTGGTAATAGACAGGTTTTTTGCATACCCATATGGCTTCCATTTTGTCTGCCAGAACATCTGGCTGTCTTGTGTCTGTGAGGTGCTTCTATAAGCAAGTTGTTGAATATGGGCTGAAGTGTTTGAAAAGTCAAGATTTATTACTGTGCTTAAAATGAAGTCTGACAGATGATCAGAAATAAACAAGTGTATGTTCATTTCCAGCAAAAGTTCATAAAACGTCTGAACACTGAATGCCAATGAGCGTTACCTTGAGCTATATAAGAAGTGCTCTCCTCTTTTGCAGCAACAGACAAAGGACGTGGTGCAGGTGCTGGTGGCCGATTCATAATAAAGGATCTACCGTCTTTCCTTTGCTCTTGAAGTTTATTATCGATAATTGTATCATACACACCATCATTTACTACAGCAGAAGTGTATGGATCTTCGCCATCTATTTCGTCAAAATAATCATTTATCTTTGGCTCTCCATCTGTCCCCTTATTTTCCGTTTGGCCTTCCACTCTTTTACAGGCTAAAACAAACATATTGACACTAATGTTATTAAACACAACTTTGAATGAAAGCTTTGACATAAGTTCACTAATATGGACCTTTGTAATTACATGTAATCCTCATTTATTATCTTGTTTGGGGACAGTTTGCAGTTACAACAATGAAAAAAATAACTTTTTGACTAATCCTCAATTTATGACCTTCACAGATCTATAAAGAAAATGAAAGCTGATGTAAAATCATAATCACAGTCATGGTTTCATTTAACAACCACTTTGCTTAACAAAAGAGTTGCCAATCCCAATCGCTAAATGAGAATGATTGGTATGCATACATTCTGTCTGTCTGTCTGTCTGTCTGTCTGTCTGTCTGTCTGTCTATCTATCTATCTATCTATCTATCTATCTATCTATCTATCTATCTATCTATCTATCTATCTATCTATCTATCTATCTATCTATCTGTTTTTGATAATACCCCATTGAGACTTTTTATTGAGTATCAACTTTCTTTGAATCAAATCAGATTGCCTGTAAAATTTAAATCTGAAATTTCAGTGAGAAGTTGACTGATTTCTACAACCTTAATAAATATAGGATAGAACTATAATACAGGAAGATTTCATGAAAATTCTGATCCATCTATAAAGCTATACCAGTTGTGTGTTTACCTGATAGAGCGATCATAAAAGTAAAAATAACAACTGGTATGCATACATTCCATGTCTGTCTGTCTACTATCTATCTATCTATCTATCTATCTATCTATCTATCTATCTATCTATCTATCTATCTATCTATCTATCTATCTATCTATCTATCTATCTATGTCACAGAAAGATCCATAGCTAGGTTTATAAATTCCTCCTGTCAGAAATTGTTTTTTTAAGCTGCAACATCTAAGTTTCTACTGGAGTCAAAATGGGAATTATAAACTATGTTCTGAACATTTTAAGGAATAATATAGAAACCTCATTATTCCTCATCATTTTAGTGGAAGTTTCAAAAGATCCTCCCAGGAAGTGAAAGTCATAAAAAGAGTCAGTGGATGAGCAAGAGGTAGAGATTCTGCTGATGGGGTATTAGATGCTCAAGAATAAAACGAAGCAGGCATATAGTTCTGTTTGATTACTCTCTTGATTACTCTCTTTGGCCAACAGTCCCAGTTTGTTAACCACATTTGGAGCTCCCTGAGGCTCATAGCTAGGCATGTTAGGGGTATCAGAAGAAAAGGCTGAAATTCCTTTATTTGTCCATGCTCTACTGATTCTGATAATTTGATCTCTGAACTCTTCTAGTGGGATAAATTTAAATTTACAGACAAAGAATTAAAGGGAGAATTAATCCTTTAATTCTTTGTCGGTAAATTTAAATTTAACACACAAATAGTCTGTCGCAGAAGCAACTTCCTGTGAAGGCTTTTAGATCGGGGCTGAAAGACAAAAGCGGAAGCAGTATGCTCCATTCCATGGGTTTTCTCGCCAGAAAACACTTCTTCTAGTGTTTCCTTCCCCCCCCCCCGAAAGATCAAGGGATGAATCCAGTTGATATTTCAGCTATTTTGCAGAGCTTTTTGCAAATTGCTCTCCCAAAAAGGAGAAAGATGACTAATTACAGATACTTTCCCAAAGATGAAACTACCCTAATGTTTCAAGGAAACACTGCATAATTATACTGATTTATTCAGAAAGAATTCAAAGGGATTTGCTTTCATCTTTGGGATGTAACTGTTTCAAGTTGTTGCATGACACCACAAATTTATTCAAGCACAATGCAGCCATGTGCAAATCTGGTATTATAGGAAGCTATGGCAGATTCTTTCCAATAGCTTTTTAATTCCATCTCCCATAAGTGCAGACAAATTTATAGGGACAGGATTCTTTTAAGACTCTGAGAGGAAACCAAATTTGGTCTAGAGCAGGGGTGTCAAACTACCGGACGCGTCACAAGGAAACCGCGCCCACCCCATTGCTGGCAATGGGGAAAAAGCTCCGTTACGTTGCGCGATGTCACGTGATGTCGTGAGTTTGACATGTCTGGTCTAGAGAGAGCAAAGGGAGTCAGTTTGGTTTAGTAGTTAAGGCATCATACTTGAAAACAGGGGACCATGAGTTCAAATCCTAACTGAACTATGAAAGCTGGCTGGGTGACTTTAAGCCAATCACTCTCTCTTAGCCCAACTCATATCTGCTAATGATTGTGGCCTTTGCATAACTGCTGCAAAACAAAGGTCACAAAATTGGGCATGGTCACATAGTGACCCATTTAACAACTATCATGTCATGCTCATCCTTAATGCTTCTTCAGTTCCCAGCATCACTACACATTGTGCATCAATGCAATTCTTATTAATGCTTGAATTAATTCCTATAAATACAACAGCTATTTCCTATTCCAATGCAAGAGTATTCCCTTCAGGTTCCTATAGGACATATCAGTAAGTGTAATGGGGATAGGGCAGTCAATGGTACTGAATCAAACTCCAGAACACAAACGTAGAATTGATAGCAATAATTAGGAAGCTGCCATTGAATATGGTCTTCCTTTCCTAGCCTGCTAATTAGTTTCCTGGATCAAACACTATGCAGCAGACAATGAGGGGATACATATGGTTTTGATCTGTTGTAGCCAGGAGCTTGAATACTATTGTAATTTTGCTATAAATGTTTTGTGTTCTTCTGTGAGTCTATACCTGAATACAAGTAGAAAAGTTCACTTTGTTTACTGGCAACAGATTGATTTCGGGGTGGCAAAGGTGGTCCCTCTGAGAGACTGACGTTTTCACTCTTTGCTTCTGGGACATCCTTAAGTATTTTACTATACAAGCCGTAACAACTATTTCTCAGATGACATGTATTTTCTTCTAATTTATTTCCTTCTTCTTTTTCTACCATTCCTTCCTCATTATATTCTTTTGGTTCTGCATCAGCATTCATCTCTTTCTTCTTCTGGATTTTCAAATAGGCTCCAGGTGGTTCTTCTATGCTTGGTCTGCCTGTTAATGTTGGGAGGATATATTATTCTTTCATTTAAAATAACCATCTGGAAGAATTTTACACTTTCTTACAGATTTCTACAGAGACACAGTCACAATGCTAATTAAACTTTCATGAATGAATATAGTATAGTGAAAAGCTGTCACATCTATAACTTCAGTGAAGAAACAATTCTGGCTGCAGGATAGCACAAATATAAGAGTACGGCAAGCTATATGTTATGCAGCTGTGCCTGTTTATTTTTAACAGACTAGGTCAGGGGTCTGCAACCTTGACAGCCTTAAGACTTGTGGACTTCAGCTCCCAGAATTCCTCAGTCAGTTATGCTGGCTGAGGAATTCTGGGAGCTGAAGTCCACAAGTCTTAAAGTTGTCAAGGTTGTAGACCCCTGGACTAGGTTGCCAACCTATCAATTTACAGTCTTTAACACATACATTTTGCAATTGGGAGAAAAATGTGAATTACTGAGAACTCTGCATTTTATGGACTGCATCACTGATTACACAAATGCAAGAAGAAAAGCATAAACTGAGTAAGCATAAATAGGCATGGTTTCTACCCTAATGTTGAAGTCATTTAGGCTTTATTTGAAATTTAAAACATTTGGAATGTCTATTAATATTGTGGAGAAATGGCTACCATATATATACTTTAATTGACTATCTCTGGGAAAGTAATACATATAAATTGCATTGATGTATACGTTTAACAATATTATCAAAGAATTAAACTTTTAAAAAATATAACAATAAATGAATGGTGGAATGCTCCATTTTAGAAACTTACCAAGTCCATTAGAATGAGAATCTGAGCTCATCATAAACACATAAATGTCATCCTCAGCTTTTATTTCGTTCTCATCACTTGTGTTTTTGTCTTCATTTATCTGGATGGGGGATAAAAAAAGTCAAATAGCACTTGATGGTATCAGATAACAACAACAGCTGGAAGTCATATAGCAGAAGACAATGCTGGAAGCTATCTCCAATTATTTATCCTTTTCTTCTAGCACCTAATATGATCATAGATGGATTTAATCCACATAATCCCTTCTTTAGAATAGAGAGGTAGAAGAATTTTGGCAGCTGTTTAGTGATGCTCCTGGCCATGATTTAAGAACACCTGTTCTGAATACAATTACATGGGGTTTAACATGAGCTCATTGGATTTTTTTGAACAATATTGGTATTTATTACCAATTAGGAGATGAGAAAAATTTCTGCCATTTCTTAGACTACTTTCCTTCTTCGTTTTTAAACTGCTAAATGGCAGTTTGTATTCAACCTGCAATTTTTCAGTTGGATGTGTTTGCTAAAGGATACTTGGTATTTATTTATTTATGTAATGTCTTGGAGTCAATGTTTTGAACTGTCATAAAAATTATCTTATGTTTTTCTGCTGGTTTTATTTGATCACTTGCAGCTGAACTTACTTTTCTTCTATTTCTGCTGGATTTGATTTCTTTGCCGTAACCTGCCCATTTCAATAGGCAGAAATTCACAACCTATTGGGTATAGATTGGACTGGATCTAGGCTCAGTATGCTAACTTTCTATCCCATTGATTTCCTGGGAAATACATTCAGGTTATCTGGTCTGTATCTATCTGTATTTTTCATTATTTTATTCCAAATGCATAATTGGCAACAAAAACCAAACAATGGCAAAGCATTCTGTCTAACTCATGATTTCCTCACCCTTTTATGAATCATGAAGTGAGATATTAATCTGAAGAAGATGGCATCAGGGCATTTCCCAAAATTGTGTTTGCAGTCAGAGAAAATTAATTATTTCTAGGAATGGTTGATAGTTTCCTCTCTCATCTGAGATACTCTGAAATTCTTCAATGTTTCTCAAACCCACATTCTTCCCCATTTCTATAGCAACTTCCTTTCTTGATATTACCAAGGAAAAATAGCCCCCCCCTTTTTACTCCCAGCATATGGGGAGTAAGACTTATCATAAGTCTTTAGGTCTCTGCCCAGCACATTGAATCACATAAAATTGTTGATAAAAGTTTGGGGGTTGTTTTTTTTTAAAAATATGCTTTTGAACAGCTATTGCAAGCTCAGTTTAGCTCCTTGGCAATTTTTAATGTCAATGCATGGATCCCATTTATGCTCCCATTGCCAAGTGAGTGAAATGAGAGATAGGTTTTCATCATATGTAGCCATCTGTTTTATTGCACAGATTTCAAATAACTGCAGATGCTTTTGCACTATTGCTTTCAGAAATAATAAAAGGAAATGTAACTTGATATTGGCAAAATGAATTTAAAGCTATATACCAAAATGCTTATATGGGAGGAAATTTTAAATTAGATTAGAGAATGGACAACCAACTTATTTAATTCATATCTGAGATACATTTTTTCCAGTGTTTGTATCATTTTAATATAAAATAGCAAGACATTTCTTCTTGAAAAACACTTGCATCAAGTAGTGAGTTTTTTTAAAGATTCATTACTCTGAAATTCTTCAATGTTTCTCAAACCCACATTCTTCCCCATTTCTACAGCAACTTCCTTCCTTGACATTACCAAGGAAAAATACCCCCCCTTTTTTTTTTTTACTCCCAGCATGTGGGGAGTAAGACTTATCATAAGTCTTTAGGTCTCTGCCCAGCACATTGAATCACATAAAATTGTTGATAAAAGTTTGGGGGTTGTTTTTTTTTTTAAATATGCTTTTGAACAGCTATTGCAAACTCAGTTTAGTTCCTTGGCAATTTTTAATGTCAATGCATGGATCCCATTTATGCTCCCATTGCCAAGTGAGTGAAATGAGAGAATCTCCTTTAGGAAATAGTTTAGGGTTGGTTGCATAGTCAGCCAGATGTTTAGACAGGATTTGAAATTTTTATCCACCTATTGGGCATCATGGTTAATTGCATATTTATTCAGATGTTTAAACAGGTTTTGGCATTTTTATTCTTTCAAGTCCATCCCAAGGACTGGAAAGTTATTGTTACAGAATGTAAGCTGTTCCAAGTAAAGCTGCCTTTTGCAATTTTGTCAATGCTGACGGTGTTCAAATGGTGGTCCAGTTGTTTGTTTACTATTATTGTTATTATTATCCTACTGCAAACAATTCTCTCTCAACAATTAAAATACCCACAGTAAAATAACATAAATGACAATAAATAAAAATAAGTAAATAAAAATTGCACACTACATTAAAGAAGGTTCACAATTTCCTCTGAAATTAACAATCCTGAAAAGCCAGACAAGAAAGGACAAGTCTGATTTCTAAGGAGTGAACTTTTCAGAGCACCACCACCTTGCCCTCCTACCTGGAGTTGATCTTACTCCATAGTAATTCATGGGACTAAAATCTCTCATTAAAGAACCAAGAAAGGTGTGGCATGTAGTTTTTGAACCATCTACTTGGATTAATTGTTTGATTATGCTGCTTATTCTTCCAGGAGCTTAAGGGAACTTACACTGCATTCCTTCATCCATTTATTCCAACAACTTTTCAGATGTACTAAATAGGAATCTTTCAGATGCATCCCACGTTGTTGATGGATATCAGTAAAGCTCTTAAATCTGGGCATACAACTAAATGCAGCTGGCAGCTGAAAAATTTACTTTCAAGATGCCTAGAATGGTTTCCAGATTGATGGGTCTTCCTGGCTTTTTCATGATACTATAATGCCCAATGTTCTTTTAAAGCAGGGAAATACCACAAAGAATGATAAAGCAAAATGGCATTGATAGAGATAAAAACTCATTGTCTAGCACAGTGTTTCTCAACCTTGACAATTTTAAGGCATGTGGACTGCAACTCCCAGAATTCCACAGCCAGCATTGCTTAAAATTGTCAAGGTTGAGAAACATTAGAGGAACACTTGCTTGTTACAAGAAGCTTGCTCCTGATGAAATAAATGGCATGCTAAGTGTATTTCAGCAGCAGATATTTCAGCAAGTACTATAAGTCAGAATGCCATTTGTAGTTATTAGGCTTTGAAGATAATTGAAGTGTGGAAAGGGCAGGAAGGATGTTTCAGGCTAAATTATTTGATATAGACTTATTGGTCCTGATAAGGTCTAGGGTTCTTATGTTGAACAGTCTATTTTTTTTAAAGCATAAAGCTCTGTGATAAAATGAATGTAGATCATATAATCTCAGAAATTGTTTACAATGCAATTAGTTCATATGTTTGCATGGCCATTTCTAAATCTGAGATTTCACTTTTCTAAGAAAGGTATGACATTCATTGTATTGTATATTCTTAGTTAAAAAAATAATAGTTAAGTTTACAGCACACAAAACATATTTATGTCCATTAGGAACTTCATTGAACTTGGAGGTAGTACTATACTACTTAAGAAGAACTCTATTGGCAGGAAACAATTCCCTTTTTAGCCAGAGACAGATACTATTATGCAGATGGAAGTGGGCAGGCATGACTAATTGGTAAAAGCATCCAAATTAAAGAAAAATGGAATACCTTCAATTTCCCCTCAAAGACACCCTCTGCACAATCATTCTGATAGCTACAAATGATATTAGAATCCAAGGATGACCTTTAAAAACTAATATTGCACTGACATCTCTCCTTCTCAACAATTCCCAGTTACATTACCAATTATTGACTCTTGTGATACAGAAATAGATATAGCAAAGGGTTATCTACCTACAGCAATGTTGTCAGAGCCATGAATTCTTCTGAGATGGTCATTCTTTTAATCAGAACATGAACATAACCTTGTCAATAACTCAGTTCCTATTCCTCAAAATGTCTTTGTAAAAGGAATATGGAAATTTTCCTTCCTTCCTTCCTTCCTTCCTTCCTTCCTTCCTTCCTTCCTTCCTTCCTTCCTTCCTTCCTTCCTTCCTTCCTTCCCTTCCCTTCCCTTCCCTTCCCTTCCCTTCCCTTCCCTTCCCCAGGCTAGTAATATTTCCATCACAAGGGAGAAAGTTCTTATAACATGAAAAGGAAAATCTCATCATTGCTTTTGATGCTTTACTGCTCAGAGTAAAAAAAGCTGATTTCTCCTGGCCAAGTTTGAAATGTAAATGTAAAAGACTCACAGAATTTTTTTTGGGGGGGGGGCTGTACAGTCAGGATGATCAACAATACAATTGAATGGAAGTTATGTTTATAAAGAACGTAAAGCTTAGCCTTTTAGATTTAAATTTTAAACATAGTATTTATTCCTTTTAAAACTCTTGTGCCAATATATCATGATGTTTTTTTCTCTGCACTTCTAAATTACTGTAACATTGTTGCAGATATTGTGAGCATTGCTATTTAGCAGCCCTGCAAACATTTCTGCTGTTTTTTATTAACAAGATACATAATTCATTTTTGATCTATAATTAATGGATATAAAATGTTATGATGGAGAGAATTTGAATCTGGCCTTATCAGAAGTGGGGAGTGCACAAACCACAATATTGTTTCTAGGACTTTATATCCATTCCTCGCTGGCTTCTGATAGGAGCTTCCAGAAAATTCTCAGCCAAATTAAAAATCAAAGCACTGTTGATTGTAATTATCACACTACTCTATTATTGAGGCTGCCCACATGATTGCAAAATAAGATTTATAGCTAAAAACATTCAATATGGAATACATATCCTCTTGCCTTGGCTAGATAATTAGAATTACACCTCCTCCTTTGTGTTTCCAATCCCATTCAAGTATGAAATATGATTGTAAAGTATGAAATAAGATTTGATTCAAATGAATGTTTTCTTTCTTAAGTTATTTTTACACAAATGAAGAAAACAAGGGATTTCAACCAAGAGGATGATGATGATGATCTGCTTTTGTTTTTTATTTTGTTTTGCTGTGCTTTATTGTGGTCTAAGTGCTTTGCATGGATAGACAAAATGGAATGCAGTCATAATGAGGACCAGGCATTTTATATACATCAGGTT